ACCAATATAGTACACATTTTGCACACGAACATTATTATTCATACATTGCGTATAGCCTGTTATCTTCGTCTGATGTTTTTTGCTGCTCCAATATTTTAATTGTACTTTGTTACGTATCTTACTCATATCTTGAGATATTGCTGGATCAATTTGATTATATAAAAAGTATTTTTTTAATACTTTCGCTGCATCAAGTGCTTGCTTGATGCTTGGTGGGGGGCAGGATCGTCTTCTTCAACAACGTACACAGCTGCAGTTCTTATCTATTTCGGCAACTTAGAAAGTACTGCTTAATGATGATTTATAATGTCGCATTGTTGTCGTTAAATAGAGTGAGCGTGACGCTATATAGAGTGTAATATTGTACAGAAAACAATGTAAACCAACCAAAGTCAAGCAATTTCGACGTTTTAAGGAGTTTAACGTTAAATAGAGTGACGTGAGTTTACACTGTAATACAAATAAAAAAATACGAAAAATATGTTAATAGAAATTCCACAATTTCATCTGACACATGCCTAGTATGCGATACATGTCGCGAAACAATTGACCATATCACTTGGGGTTGCTCATTTTTAGCCAGGCATAATAATGTTTAAAAAGTTTAAACTCATAGATCAGATAGAACCATACTATAAATACAAAGTGCAGAATGTATTAGATAACCTCTCAGCCAAGCTTTATTGGGATAGAGACATAATTATAAACAAAACAGTTAATCATAATAAACCTGACATCACCTCGGACATCAAAGAAACCAAAACAACCTACCTAATAAATGTTGCTATACCAAATACCGAAAATTTTAAACAAAAACATATTGACAAAATTCAAAAATATATTCCTTTACCCGATGAAATAAGAAAAATGTAGAATAAGAACACGGTTCGAATTATTCCAATAATAATTTCATCAGTAGGCGTTATACCTAATACATTGCATGCTAATCTAGGCGAGTTTGAACTGCATAAATTTACGTAAGTACATCAGTCTACCAAATCAGTAATTCTTCACAAATGCGGAATAGTACACAGATTTCTTAACAATTCTGTTATTCCTCGTTTCCAGACAACACGATAGGTACAATTACAAGCGGAGTTATTAATAATTTCCGATTATAAATATAGATAAAAAATATCGATAGCTTCATGAAAAATTTTATAGTGCTAAATTAACGTATTCTAAATAATGTGAGTGAGGTTCATTGATATCTGCCCGTCTTCACTTGCTCAAAGTTAACCAGTGAAGACTGAGTACACCGGAGTCTTCACCTGCTCAAAGTTAACCAGTGAAGACTGAGTACACCGGAGGATAATAATAAATAATAGGCATAGATAGAGGCTTAGCTAGTATACAATAACAGAGAGATGAGTGTACAACGTGTCACCAATTACATATTAGTAATTAAAACACTGTAAAAAAATGTGCGACACGGCTATATCAACTCTTTTAAAATGTATAACGAAGTACAGAGTCATTGGTTTTTCAGTGAGAAGCACCAATATGACGTGAGTCCTCGCGCGTGACCGATTTAGGAACTAGGATGTGCACGTGGATGCGACACAACAAGGCGCGTCGCGGCGTCGGTCGACGGGACACTTATAGACGCCCGCGTCTATTTAAAGCAAAAAGGAAACGATCCAACTGAACGATCAGCAGCAAATCAGGTGCCAGAGCTAGCAAGAGAAAAGAGAGAAAGTGTTCATGTTTCTATTTTGCCAGTCAACAATGACGATTCATCCATATCAAGATTAAATATGTATTTACGTGCATCCTGTATTTATTTTTTTATTTTGAACTATAATTCGATTTTCTGTTAATTGTCTTACGAAAAATTAGTCGCAGCGATAAATCAATGGCTCGAATTTTGAGTCGGAACCATTATTGCTATAAATTTTCATTGCAACAGTTAATATTAGGTATATTATGGAAAACAGCAAAACAAGCGGTTACGGTAAAAAAAGACAACACAAACGAAGTACTTATATTGTCTGTCTACATAGCTGCTAAACAAATTTCAATGTATTGCGAATCGATTAGCTCATAAGAGGCTAGATACGAAATCCATTACACATAAACATTGAGATGTTAAATTATCACGAAATTGTTCGGGACTAAAATATAACATGTAACGGAAATTTTTAGAAAGATTATTCGACACTGCAGAAATATACTTAATATACAACAACCTCGACAATTCTAACGCGATAAGAAAATCTGAACAATAAAAACCCATTTGACCTCGTCTGTAACGTAGTACACGTTTGATTTTAGTATTTTTTTAAGCAACATGTTTAAATACGTCTATTTCATTGAAAAATGTTTAAAAGAAACTGTATTATTAGGTGCCGAAGAGGACTGCAAACAATCAAGCCGATCCAATTGCATAAATATTTTGTGCAATTGCATACAATCATCAAAAGGCGGTATCATCTTTTGTAATTCGTATAATTAATCAATTTGCAATTTAAAGCTTTTAAAGACTGTTAAGCTCCGTTTAAAAGATTCTGTCAGTTCGGTTAGTTGAAAAAATATATATCACACGATCAAAAAATTGTACATAAAAGGAAAAATTTCTGGGTAGGAAATATGTAATTTCTATGTTCGGTGAACATATTGCCTTATGTCTGTATACACGTAAGACAAAACGTTTTTATCATATCTTTTCAAAAATATCATTTGCTTCTCTGACTAACCGAGCTCTCAAAATCTATTACGATTACAACGATTACTTCTCTACACACACATATATATATTTATTTTCCTATAAAGGTACAAACAAAGAATTAGAAATTTTTGTCCACAATGCCTTCACATTTATTTTGATTGAATCAATTTTTAGGAACGTATAATAAGTATGAAGTTTGTGGTCGTTGCTCCGTTAAAAATAGATCCACAAAAGTTCAAACAACACCTTCGTGAGTCACACTTGTTTACTCAACCAAAACACTTGTATATCTTCCCAAAAATATTATAATTTGTTTGATAGCAACACCCCCCGGTAAAGGCTGACGAATCACGATATCGGCACAAAGTTTAAAAACGTAGAAATCAAACACATTAAACCTATAGATCTCTCTCGCTACGCCTATGCGTAATTATCTGTTTTTTTTTAATAGTCTTATAAAAAAGGTATTTTGGTTTTAGATTTTATAAAAGAACTTGATCATGTTTTACGCTTCATAAAACATTACGCAAAATTGATTCACACCTGTAGCTGAAAATGTGCAATTAGTTTATTAAACACGAATACAGTGTCTTTATGTTTCTGATTGATAGACATAACAACAGCGGCATAGTCAATAATAATAATAACATGTTCCACGACGAAACATGTGATAATAGATAAAGGAAGAGCGAGAAAGATGAAACGGAGCGCAAGGGAGCAGAAATCACTATGTCCTAGAAACTATACCGAAAGGCATAGAGCTATAAATACTAGAATATTGTCTGGTGCTTGTCGTCACACTGGAAATAGACAGTCGCCCGCATTGCTCAGATGTCATTTTCGTTGTTTCATCTTGCTGTTAGCATGCAGCCGCTGCCGCTGCCTGCCTATGTTGCTCTTCGCTATTTAGTACCAGTGCACATAATAAAACAAAAACCAGCCGCAACGGTGAGGCTTTGTTTTATACCAAACAGTCACACCATCAACAATTAAATTAATTACTATTATTTATTAATGGGTTTATTAAATCTCAATTGGATTGTTACCGAAGAGGACACTTTTTGTAATTGAGTTATAAGAGTTATTGTATATCAAGTACTTATCTGTTATATTTTGTTAAATGGCAAAATTGATATTATTCCCACCAAAGTTTATTTATTATAATATATCATTGTAATATATTCCTTCCTGTACTATTATTTTTGATTTATCTAATTTTAAGCAAGATTGCCATAAATATAGATATGCTGCTTAAAGAATATTATTTGCTAATCGTCAGTATAAGTATTCAAAACAGGTTCATAAATAAACAGGACTACCTTTTGCGTGAAAATAAATTTTTGATAAGAAATAAGATCGTCTGATATATGTCTATAAACAGCTTACATGATACACACACCTAAAATCATAAATTTTATCTAATGAGCAATTTTTACTCGCATTAGAAAATTTGCACTGGTTGATTCTTAAAAAAAAAAAGAACCTTCTGTTTTCAAAAGAGATTCAACATTAGGTATAAGATTGTATCAAAGGAAAAGTGGGCCAACTTCCTTTTCAAAAAATTAGGTTTATTAATGTACCAATTCTATTTTGCTGATTACAAACTTTGCAAAGCAGAACATACAGCACAATTCAGCTTTTTTTTAATTTTTAAAAACAGCGGAAAAATATCGCCGGACAAAGTATCTGCACATTAACAGATATGTAGAAACATTTATTGTTTAGAGACTTTGTCATTTAAAATTTTTCACATATATGTATAAAATGTAGGGTGTATGTAATACACAAAAACAAAAATTTCGTTTTACCTAGATACATATGTGTTCTTTAGCTTGTATTGTAGGTAGTTATCGTACTTGTGGTTAGTGTGTAAAATTTATTTGCAGTAGGTAGTTTGAATCGATTATACGAATAAATGTTTTAAAAGTTAACTAATTATCAATAATTATAGATAAATAAACATGCACAACATGTGTCAGCATGAAATCGTATTACTATTTATAAACATAAATGCATTTTCACAGATTTATTACAGCTGATACCTGGTCATAATTAAACGGATACAATAAGAATTTATGCACTCAATAAAAAAATAAGAAATCAATTTTGCAATGAATAAATAAAGCATTGGATCTTAAGTAATCCGTTTTACTTTTATGCTATAAACGAACCCCAAAACAATTTCAAATTTTAATTGCTACGTAAATTACGTTATCATTATTAATTGTATGTATGTACTCCTTTTCCCATTTTTTTAAATAATTAGAAAGATCTTACTATAAAGATAGTTTCCTACTGAGGTACCTATTAGGTAGAATAGTTTTTCACTCACTTTTAGGCTTAGACTTATCCATTAGCATGAGGTGATCGTGTTTACGCCACGCCATGGGTTCCTGCGACATCATGAAATCGGAGGCCCCATGAATTGGGGGTCTACGAATCCTCACTGAAAACGGCGCATCACTCGCGAATAACCGTCTCCCATGTTGTCACCGGGTAAACAATCCAGCGTGCTTGGGGCAGTAACCTCTACGCGCTCAAGGCCAACACTGGATGCTGATACCTCAACTGACAGTGCTACTTCCGCCCTGTATCGAAGAGAGATAGAGCGACAACAAACAGTGCCTGTCCGATAATTAGACCTGCCGCTGCTTATTGGCAGCGATTCGGAACACGGAGAATTTTTATCCTTTTAGAGGTGACTGCCACTTTTATTTGTTATATTAATTACAGGGAAGTAAGTATTCCTGGTCGTAGACGAAGTACATAAACGAGCACGCGCACCCCTTGTCCAACAGGAATGGACTGAACCATAAAGCTATACCAGACGACAGTTCTCTGCGAAGTCGCTGTTCGGGTCAAAACACATTCACAAAATAACAACAAATATACATGGAATTTACGGTGAAGTCATACAGCACCAAAGCAACACCACTTTATCACCCTGTAAACGAAACTGTCGTTCTAAAATGGCGCCGATCATAGGTGAAAACGCTGAATTACTTCGTTTTAAAGCCGCAACACCTTCTTGCACACGTGAGTTTCGTCGACTGCTACCTGTTAAGTAAATGCCTGTCGTCGAACACGAATCAACAACTTTTTGTAACCAAATTAACCCACTTCAACGATATTTTGTGCCACGAACACGTTACCAACACAATAAACACAATCTATCCGATAACAACACACGATACGCGGAACATGGCATCAGCTACTGCGGCGCAGGCGACTGATCGCAAGGCGTAACACTACTCGGGTTCGGAATTGCGCGATTCCCTACACGGCCGCAAGGGGCGTCACTTGTCAGAAGACGAAAAACTGTATTCTCGTAAGATATACATATAAAGACCGCCCATTGCTCATGCGTTTAAAACGTCACAATTTTCAATTTACCATTTATTTTCAATTATAATGCACTTTAATTGTAAAAATGAAAAAAATCAAACAAATCCAAAACGTTTTTCACTTTTTTTATTGAGTGTTCTTGTAAAATCAAGTCAAAATAATAAAAATTCCATTTTCTTAAATTTTATTATTTTCTTTATGAAAAACAACAAAAACTTTAAAGTATGTTTAAGAAAATACAACTCACTACTTGATATTTTTTTATTAATGTACGTATTTAATAGTATATCTACCATTTGCGTTAATTACAAAAAGGGCTACAGTTCAAATGGAGTAAATAAATGCAGTAATTAATTGGTTCACGCAGAGTATATTCTTAGATACTAACCGAGCCAAAAATAACTGCATTAACACGCAACTAATTTCTTATGGGTCTTAATTTAGCTCATTCTCGTTTGTGCTTTTGTCCATTTAAAAATATATCAGCTTATTAAGCAGCTGCACTCATTGAGAAAATTTATTATTTTATGAGACTAAATAGCTGCTACTGCATGACAAAAAATATGGTATTACATACATTTATATTCGATTTTTGTTTCTAATTAAAAAAATATCTAATAAATTCAAGAAAATGCTTATTGACTGATTACTATTTTACTTGTAAAAAGTAGCAAAAATCTAACTTGTGTAATTTACCATATCGTATATAATTACTAAGGCGACATCTAGTAAGTTATCTAACTGATACACATTCATTGCTATTTCAAGTTTATCACCAACCACCCCTAATGATCTTCCAAACGGATAAAAACGCAAAATTAACACCATTTGTTATTGCTGTGCACGTACCTACACCGTCTACAACTTATAATATAATAATTAAGACTAAACTTTAAACAATACATAATATACATTCTCTACTCTAGTTTTACAACTTTTTCTTAGCTTTAATATTAGATTATAAAAACAGATGGTAAGAAATAATTTCTAGCTGGTTATATATGTTTTAATGAATAAGCTTCAAATTAATTAAAAAAAAATACAAATTAAGTGTTACAAATTTACACATACACAAACTGAAAATGTAAATCCATTAGGAACAGGAGTGGAAGAAAGGGGTATTAAAAGTAAAGTCCTCTCTATACATTATCGTGTACACAGACTAACATTCATTATTTTACGAAAAAAAAATCATGAAAACAAAACGGTGTTACATGTTACAATATGTATGTACATTTGTAGCTTCTAACAATATAACTGTTGCTTTATATATATATATAATATATACTTTCACTTACATGTAACTAGAAAGACTAAGAATAAGTGTTTCCAAAATTTGATACCAATAACAAACTGCAATAAAAAAATATAATATAAATGAAATAAACGTAACAGTAGTTTGCAATAGTTGTAGCCACCGGTAAAATAAACTCAATCAGAAAAATAAATACTTACCACTAAATAAAAATCTGTATATTTTATTAGTTGCTGTTTAAATAGAATTAAAAGATGTACATAATTACTATAACACAATACGATTAACGGAGCGTTTCAATAAAAAATCAAATGTGCCTTATTTCGTCATGGAAACAATAAAATTCCAATAGTATAATACAATAACTTTTATTTATATACTTTTACAATAACGCAACTCAATACAATTAAAGTGTATTTTAATTAATCCATTATAGTGTTTTAAATATGTATATACATTACTTGTTATTAAAACATAAAACGGCCGCTATTTGCTAAAGTATTTTTATACTGCAACGTGAAAAAATTACAGGAAAGGATTAAAATTGGATCGATTTCTTGGAGGCATTATATTCATATTTAGTAGATTCGGTATACCACCAGCTTGCATGAACTGATTATTTAATACATCATGCAAGCCTTGTCCTTGTTGCATAACCATTTGTGGTTGATTCACTAGCAATTGTCTGTCAATGTTCTGATGTCTGTCTAAGATTTGAGTCGGTCTGTCAGTCACTGTTTGAATTCGATTGTCAAATGGTTGAGGTCTGCTAAAAGATCTTTCAAATGGTAATGGCATTTGCTGTCTATTCAATGGATTTTCAATATTTCCGTCGATGCTATTACCCAAATCGCGAGTTCCACTAAACCAATCATTTGTTAATCGACTTCTTGCTTGATCGAATTTGCTTCCATTTTGATTTCCCGGAAAAGGTTCACTTTTTCCTCCCATTTGCTTCAAAATTTGGGCTGGGGTGAGATGAACCAGAGATTGGGCTTTGAAGGCATCTTGATAGTTGGGCTTCTCTTCCGTACATTGTACGCCCATATCCACGGTATTCCTAATGTTGCACTGAATTGCGACCGATTCATAAGTACGCGCGCTTCTGATTTCACATATCTGACACTTCATTAAGAACATGGGGGTCTGACACATTTTCGTATGACGTTTAACACCAGTCATGAAATCTTGAGCACGAACGGGTTTTGTTTTTACAAACGACGATTTTATGGTATTTACATTTATATTCGCCGATGAAATGGTATCGATTGACATGGGATCCTGGGAAGATGATGCATCTTTAGAATTACCTAAACCAATACTAACTAACACCTTTTCAAGGGTCCGACTGAAAGTAGTCTTGTCTTCATTACCCTTACTCGGGGTTGTAAACTGAAAACGTACAACTGGAATTTTTCGTAATGGCGATAATCCTTTTGCTTCTGAAATTTTATCGATAAATTTTTGTT